CCTCAGCTCGCCGCAGCTCCTTGCGAAGGCTGTAAATGGTGTTCATCAGCTCCTGGCGTTCTTCTAGTATCTGGCTACAATCTTTCTCCAGAGTCTCACTGGAGAGGCTCTTCTCCAAATTCTGTTCCCTTGCAACCTGCTGGACAAAAAAAAAAAAGTGAGATACAGCAACCACCTAACTCCACATTCACACTTTCCCCGCAGCCCTGTGTGCTCTATTTGACTTGGGAGAACAAAGCCACAGCTGACCCACACAATCTTCAGTGCAGCCCCATCGCTGCGCTGGCTGCTACAAATAATCGCTTCTCAGCAGTCTGTATCCTACCACCCCCACCAACCTGGAGAGTGTTCTCCAGTTCCTGATTCTTGGCCAGGAGCAACTCCTTCTCCTGTTGAATCTCCCACACCACCTCATGGCTTGGACGCTGCTCTATGGCATGCTTCAGTTTCATCGTGTGCTTACGCTCCAGTTTGCAGTCATCCTCCGCCTTCATGAGGCTGTGCTTCAAGTGATCAATCTACAAGAAGGTTCAGAGCTCATCAGTAACAAGGAGAAAACTCTGGCCTGCAAACGCAGTTCTCACTCCATTCCCCAGACAAACATGGTGCATGTTTCTCCCCAGCTTTGTTTTCCTCAGAATGCTTGGTGCTCTGGGGACCAAAGCCCTGCCTGTGTGCTAAACGGATACAACACATTGCTCTTGTGAGAGGACCCAGTCTTGAATGAGAGGAAGACTGTTAATTCTCCACAGCCTAACTTGTAATTAGGGTCTACTGGGCTGAGCTAGGGACCACCAAGACATGTCACCTGCTATAGAGAAGATGCACAGAACCTCATGCTGGACTGGTCCAGACCATCCCGGGCAAAGACAAGTCTGGTGCACAGCATAGCCTTCCAGGGGCCAGGTAAGAAGGGAGAAGCTTTAGAAAAGGGTGACTGACCTCTAGGATCAGGTCCCGGTTCTTCATGAGGGCAGCGCTCTTCTCCTCGCTCTGTTTGGCATAGCTCATTGCCAGGTTGTAGTTCTCATCCTTGCACTTCCGCAGCTCCTTGCTCAGGCTGTCCCTCTCCTCCTTCATCTTCTGTGCCCGCTCCTGGTGCTTGCGGAGCAGGCTGTCCCTCACCCACATCTCTCTGATCGTGTCCTCTTTGGTGTGCAGCCACATGGTGAGCTCCTGGGCCTTCCGCCGCTCCTCCTGCATGGTGCTCTGCAGTTTCATGATCTCGTTCATCAGGAGCTGGCTCAGGCCAGATTCCCCAGCTGTGTCTGTTTGGTGGGCAGGCATCAGCCACCGCTGTCCTGTCTGCTCCCCAGACACACATACAGCACAGCTTCCCACCCACTTCTCACTGCAGCTCAGCATCAGCACATGCCACAGACAAGATGCAAACCCTGAAGACACATGTGATCAAAGTCTCCCTGCTGTTTCCCCGTTGCTCTGTGCCTTTCTACACCACAGTGTCACTGGCAGAACAGGCAGAAGGAAGAATTGATCCTCCTGCTTTCTCCTCCACCCTCCCAGGTCCAGCCTGTGATGCCAAACAGCAGGGCCATTCTCACCAGAACCCTTCCAAAGCAAACAGGAGCAAGCCAGGGAACGCTCCCGACTCTGCTCACCAAAGCTGGGGAGAGGCAAACACAGAGGTGAATCCCCCCGTAATTTGCACAGCAACACCAAATGAAAAGCTGTTTTTTCAGAACACAAACATTACCTATAATCATAGAGAAAACCCTGCTGGGCTCCTTGCCAGTTATTTTCTTATACAGTTGTGGATAATAAAGCTCAAGACTCTCCAGAAACGCCTCAAAGCCCTTGTGTCCCGTTCGCTGAAGAATGTCCAGAAGAACACCTGAAACAATAGCAACAGGATATTCTATTCATTTATAGATCTCTTTGCCTATTTCTTACATAATAAAAAATTGCTCCGCATTTAGATTAAAGCTGCTGGGATCAAATCCCCCAGCCAATCCTAAGCCACTTGCCCAGTAACTATATGAAAGTATTTTAACTAGCTCCTACTACAGCAGGTGCAAAAAGCAGATCTCAGAAGAGCATTTTATGTTATCCTGATAGTAATTACAGAAAAGGTAAGTTAAATAAAGCACCACGACAGCTTCTGCAGCTCAAGGCTCTGCTTCTAAATACCAGAGGCAAACATGGAAAAAAAGGGCCACTAGTGTAAGAACACTGTGTATAACTAGAGAGGTAACAGGGACAAGCCTAAGAGTGCCCGGACTAAAAAGCTTTGAGCTCAATTCCCTACTTTGTCTAGGAATGCTCTGTACCAGATCAAGCCCAGGGGGGCTTCTTTTCTGTGTTCTGCAGTTTCCCAATCTGGAAAACAGGGAAATTTTTTTTTTTTTTTTTTTTTCAATGACCCTCAGTAATTTATCAGTAAGAGTTAATCCAATCCAGAAGATGTACTAACAGCATAATGAATTCTGTCAACAAGACAAGGACCGTATAGAACAGTCACAAAGAATTTACTTAATGTGCTGCCAGCATTCCCTCAAACACCAGAAGAGAGGAACAAGGGACAACACGTGCTGCACTAATCTTTGAAATCTCCCCCTGCAAAACTGTTACACACAAATAGCCTTGTGGGTCAAACCAAAGCAATTCCCTCCTTTATGCTAATGTAGAGATCCAGAATATCAAAAAGCCGCACCCCCTCTGTGCTCCCATTGTCCTCACACAGCTCGGGAAAAGCATCGATAGAGCCATCTCCACTCCTCCTCTCCCCACAACGATGTGCTGAGGAAAGGGAGGGAAAAGGGGCTGCATAGCAGTGCCTACAATGTTTGTGCTAAACACAGGCAGATGGTAACCTAGAAGCAATGCGCTCCTTCAGGCCCAGTCCGTTAGCACTCTGTTCCAATCTGCTCCCAAGAGCCGGCAGAGCACAGGAGCATCTATGGAGCCAAAGGCTGCACTTCACCCACCTGCCTTCCGTTTGCGCATGACCAGGCTGGGGTCATTAAGAACTTGTTCCTCATCATCATGGTTGATCACTTTGCACTGGCGAAGGTAGGGTGTTATACGGGAAGGATCTATCACAGAGATCAGCTTCACCCGGAAGTTCTCCAGGTTATTCCAACATGTCTCATCATTGTCTTCTTCCAGCATGTTGGTGAGTGAGAACTGTTAATGAGCAGTGTTGTCCTGTCTTGAAAAGGCAAAACCAGAAAACAAACAAGAAGACTCTAAGCCTCCTAGAGTAGGGGGTGTGTGAAACCAAGTATGGTAACAGACTGGGAATGGAAATGTGTCTTTTAGATACAGGAACACATCTCCCATGTGGTCTTTAACTCAACACCTGCAAATCACCTGCAGAAGAGAGTGATACACCGCAGTCATACCTGAAAGAACAGCACCAGACTGGAGATATCAGCAGCTGCGAGGCTAGCATCAATGCTGCTGACGCATACATGAAGGAAAGCCAACACTGAATTCTGAGAAAACAGAAGTCACCAAAGGTCAATGGTCTCCCTCCAGACAGCTGAACATCTCCCACATCTCACTGCAAGAGGAAAGTGAAACTATTTAGCAAGAGGTCCAGTGGCAAAAGGCAAGTCATTGAGAGCCCCACGAACAGGAAAAAATCCAACCAACTCTAGATTCCCAACAGCGTACCCCAAGAAAGCGCTGTCAAATCTCACTGACTTCACCATGGGTTCTCCAGATGCTCAGCTATGCTTAGAATTTAATCTTTAATCCCCATAACCAATACAAAAAGTGTGGAACACAACACAAGATAAGCTGATGGCAAACTGCAACTTTCCAATTTGAAACTAAGCATCCAGTGAAGAAGTGAAAACATCTGTAAAGCTCTCCTAATTAGCTGCTGCCTCTGCTTTACGAACAGTTCACACACTTCCTTCTCCATCTCCTGGCATTTCAGATTCCTGTATTACCTGCTTCTTGACAAGAGCCTGCTATTAACCACAGGGTCAGAAAAACTACTTCTTAGCCTGGAAGTGTGCAGGTGAACAGATGCAGAGAACCCAACACTTCTATACCCAAGCCTCTTTGCCTTTCAAATAAGAAACTGGCATTATTTTTATTTCTTTGCCCCTTTGTGGTCAGCCTGTTCCATAACAAGTACCTTTTGAAATCCCAGTCATTACTTACTATGCTTGTGTCACATGTACGAGCTGACTGCAATACCCATTGTCATTTCCAGCGGCTCAGGAAGGCTGGTGGAAACTTTAGTATTCGTGGTTTTAGTCACCTTATTTGGGGGCAGTAAGGGTGGGAACAGAGTTCTGACAATCAGCAGCTATACAGGGGCTGGGACTTCACACACATCTTACGGTATCTCTCTCCAAGATTACCTCAAACCTTCGCTGTTTTTCTTCTCCAGCACAGAGGAAGACTCCAAACATCTTCAGCACATACTTGTTACACCCTACATTGTCAGTTAACTTTAATGAGCTGGACTGACACAGAACTAGTCATTACTTATCATGGAGAAAATACTGTGCTCTTGCCCGACATCAAACCAGCCCCAGCAGATTACAAGAAATGCATTCCCCTGTTCGTAAACACCACATCCTTACCTCAAAGCTGTAAAATAAAAAATTTTTCCTTGTTAACATAAAGCATTCTGCATTACATGGACCAACCTGAGCCTGTGCAGTCAAAAGCCTCCTTCTTTCCTCTCCTGGTCTAGCAACATTCATCTGTGTCCTGTCTCTGAGAAAACTTGTCTTGGACGCAGCCTCCCTTTATATTCTGGTTAGAGCAAAGATCATTCCAGGAGCAAAACTGGTTTGAGAAAAGGGGAAACTACTCAGCTATGCTCTGAGATGGAAAGGGAAGAAGACGACCAAAAAAAAAAAAAAAAAAAAAAAATAGATAGATTAAAAAAAGAAAGGGGAAGCCAGAATGGGCGATGGAGGAGGAGAGAAATGCTAGTCACATTGCAAACCAGCAGCATTACATATGCAGTGATTTTAGACTCATTCTGTCTTTGTTTTCCAGTCTGTACCACTGAAGTACCAGCTACAGTCCTGAAAATTTCTTTGTGTAGTGGTCAGTAAGACTAAAAAGAGTGAAGGTCATAGGTCTGTCCAGCTGATTTCCGGGGACAAAACAAGCCACAGAGTTAAAAGAAAGAGGCTCTTCGAATGGCCTTTCAGCTGTTAACATCTTTATACAGGAAAGCAGGTGGCAGCAAGAACTCTTTTGGTTTAGAGTTCAGCTGAAAAGGATGATTTCTATAATGATGCCTCTAATTTTGGATGTCCTTAAGCTTCAAGCATGATTATGACAACTCAGTATTTTGATGGAAAGAGAGTCAAGTCTTGGCAAAGCAAGGAACATAACCCACGGTTCCCAAATTACAGGCTGTGGCTCTAACAGTAATTAAAGGAGCAGCACAGCAAGCAGCATTGTGATGATGTTAAGCATCAACATCATACCTTTGACTGCCTCTCCCTGCCTTCCCACAGTCCTAGAACTGTAGCTGCAACAAAAACTCACTAACAGTCTGTTTTAAAAAAGTCTTGAGAACATACACGTTCTGATACCATGGCAGCATGACACATTTTCCCATTAGCTTCCCACTCTACTCTTTGTTCTGCTTTCCAAGTTTGTGGAGAGTTTCTCCATGTTATCATTAGGAGTGGGGCAGAGATGCTCAGAGATTCTTTAAGCCTGTGCTTCTTGTTAGGCATTAAATTAGCTTTACACTAAAAATAGATACTGTACCTCTATTAGCTATGCCTGTGCTGAAGGTAATCGGAATGTCTGCTAATTGACCAATCCAGCCTGAGGAGTTTTTGTTCTATAGTAACAGATCAGTTTAATCCTGAAAAAGAACAAAGACAGCTGCCTCTTACAAAGTTTTTCCACAAGCAGTAAGATTACAAGGGCACCTCTTGAGCAGCATTTGCAAAGGACAACAATCATTTAGAGCACAGATCACACGCACTACCAGCGCCTCAGGGCAACAGCCCTGTGGTAAATAGCACACAGAACTGTATGGCAGAGCTTCTGCCACATCTGCAATTCCTGGAAAAATGTTATCTGTACTGGCTTACGGAAAATGGAGTACACTGCAAGAGGAAAGGCATTTCAAAATAATTCCTTTTGCTCCATAATGTCTTGACGCCCAAGTACAGCAACATTGGTACCCGCTGTCCCCGAGACCCCAGCCCTGCCTAAAGCCCTGGTAGAAGAGTTGCAGCTCACAGCACTCTAAACTCACCACTACACTCTCAGAAGCTTAGCCAGTGCAGTGGAATGAAGCTTTCTGCAGCACTTTCCCACTAGATTTTATCAGCTTTGACTCAGCTAGCTTTGCACCTCTCTGTAAGACAGAAATTGCTGTTTTATGAATGAAGAAACAAGTTTTTGTTAAGTGATTTGCTGATGTCTGTACAGGGCAGGCTGTGGAAGAATCAAGAAAGAATGCAAGCCTAATTCAATCCTGCAGTTCTAGCCACATGCATATTCATTTTCCACATTCTCCCTGGTTTTCAAGCAGCTTGCAAACTTCATTTTTCCCATTAGCAATCACACTCATACACACATTATTAAAAGCACTATTTACCAGAAAAAAAACCACACAGAATACATCAGTAATTTTTAAGTGAGAAAAATAAAACATCTGTATTTCAACAAATACTCAAGACTCATTTTGATACAAAATTAATCTGCTGCTTATTCAGCAGTATTCGGTCAGTTAGCTATCAAGCAAAACCACTGTCACAGCACTAGAAAAAACACCCAATGAACAACATATTCTGAGCATGGATAATCATTCACATAAATAGGGGCTAACACAAAAAGGAAATAAATAACCATCATTGCTTGTTTCCCCAGATCTCCAGAAACCTTCCCCCCAGCATCTATGGCAGGTGCTAGTTTGAAAGAGAACAGAATTGTCTGTGCCTGAAAGACTTCCCTCCAGCCATTTTGACTCGTTTTTTTGCAACTTGTCTAAAGATGTAGACTTTGTTAGGCGATGGGAAAACCAGTCCAGACATTTTCCTCTCTTCCCCAGGTCCGTCTAGTCAGTTTGTTGGAAGTGTTAAAAGTGAATAGTGCAAAGAGTATCTCCTACTGCCATGTAGGAAAGCAGACCTCATTCAAGTGACTCCTGTAACAAAGCACAAACAACTCCTATTAGCCACAGCATTTTTATAGGGAAGCTGCCCTTTTGGAATTTCTAAAACCCATTTTAAAGAAAAAACCCAAACAGTCTCATCTGACAACCATGTGAATCAAGCACCATTCATGATCATTCAGTCTATTTCACCAAAAGCCTCAACAAATATTAAGACATCACACACTTGTACCCTATATAAGCTGTCCTGTTATACATGTAGAGAAATGAAGCCATGCAGGGGGGAAAAAAAAAACCCCACAAAGTTGTTCAAAGGTGAAGCATTAGAGACAAACTCCAGTGAAGTACCCGCTGGTCTAAAGCCCCAGCTTCCCACCAGCTTTTAATACTATTCTTCAATTCAAGACTCAGAGCCAGCTACAAAGGGTAAACTACACAAAGAGCTGCTGCTTCCTGCCCAGGATCTAGAGGATTGCCCAATAACCCCGAGCAAGGATATCTTACCACCAGCTTGCTGGAACCAGCAGAAGACTCCAGCTTCTGCTGCAAGTGTTTCACATTCACACACACAAACCCTCTCTCCAGCAGTAGCTGCCCAGGCTTTCCTGTCCCATCAATTGTGACCCTCTACTAGCTGCTAAAATGTTAGCAGCCAAGCCTGTAGAGTGCTACCAACTAGGTATAATACCAGTAGGCAGTAGCATGGACTAAAAGGCTGCCAAATGTTTGAACTTCATGACTTTTGGATATAATTTTATCATGCAGACATCAACTTTCCCTCCCCCTGAAAGTCCAAGTATTAGCCTTAGTCTCTGACTAATGGGTGATTGTAGAACTTTGTGTCCTAATTGAGATAATTTCAGTCCTTTCTTAGGGTCACGATTCCTTGTCTAAGTAGTACCACAGACAAATGTGTTTCAGGTTCTCTTCTCAGTGAAGAAATACAAAATTGACTGAGTAGCTACTAACACATTTCCTTCTCACATCCTCCTCCTTTTCCTGAAGCGGGCACTTCTCCTGATTTGAGGAGCGCTGGCATCAACCATATCAGAGCAGGAGTCCAAGACAGACTGTGCAGCATTCTCTTCAGCTCCCATGCCCTGCAACATAAGCAGAAGAGACTCTCAGCACCATGACAGCCAGCATAATTGTAAAAGAACCCCTTCAGCCATCTTTTTATTTTAGGGAGCTCAGCAAGGTTTCCAAAACCATCTTCCATTTACCTTCAAAATTAAGCATGGGACAACAACAGGTGTCACAGCGAGCACAAAACATTCCCAAATTTTCAGAGCAAAACCTTCAGCCAACACTGGCATTTCTTCCTGCTTCTGCGACCACTACTAAACTAGAGCAACTCCTGTTGTAGTTTCTGTCTGGGCACAACCATTCCTTAGAGAGGTTGCACGCCTGCCAGAAGCGATGCTTTAGCTTCTGCTGCTGGAGCCAGACAGTGCTCCAGACAACACAGGTCAACACAAACTTTTGATTTCTCATAAAACATACCCCTACCACGAACTTTTCACTGAAAAGCACCGAGAAAACAACCTGGCTATAGCGCTAATAAAAGGAATGGGAGGGAGCCTGGTGGAAGACGACACAGGACAGAGGTTGGCAGTAAGGCTACCAGGCAGTGAGGAATTGCTGGTGACTTTTGGAAGAACCACTCACAGTTCAGGCTACGCTGAACTTGGCCCAGACACAAAAGTCAGAGCCAGAATAGAAAGATAACTGCTGTCTTTTACCACGGGAAAACTCCAATTTTAGGCAGCTTTGCCATCTTGCTGCAGAAACAGACATTTACCATCTTCTACCATCTTCACTAGTGTTTCGTTTGTTTACTTTAGAGCCACAATGAATTGAAAAGCAAGTTTAAGCTACACAACTTCCTGGCATGTTCTGTAAGAAACAGTGCTGGGCATTAACGGATTTAGCTAAAAAACCAGAGACTGATTTTAGGTTGACATTATGGCTTACATCAATCCATATACTCTAATAATCTCTAGTCATATAAAGCAATCCAGGACGAAGACCTCAAGTGGCAATAGGAGCAAACATACACAATTGCCCTGTTATTACTGCAGTTTAAAGGACACATACAACGAAAAACAAGGGCCTGTTTTCAAAAATATAAGAGTCAGTGCAGCAGATTATAAACTGCAAGAGGAAGGGAGCCCTGATACCCACTTCTGGGAGCTATCATGTCAAGTTTAACGTGCTACATAAAGTACAGACTTTTACTCTCGTGAGAACTAAGGGCTCCCAGCTGAGCTAGAGAGCTTTGCCTTTCATCAGCTGCAAAACCATTCTTATTCAAAAGGATCACATTTCTGCTACACTTAAGAACAGTGGGGGTTTCACCCTGGATTCTAGTGCAGTAACTTCCTGCTTTTAGTCCCTGGCACCTCCATTTTACCTGATTTAGTAAATCAGCGTCTTTGTCTCCAGGCTCATCATCAACTGTCCAATCCAACCGCACACCTGTTAATTCATTCCCACAACTCTCTTCCTCAGACACTTCCTTCTCACTCTGCCACTCCTCTTCATCACTCTCTTCATATTGCTTCCTGCTGGCTGACAGAGTTGTTGTCACTTTTGGAGGAGGCAGAGTTGCAAGTACAGCTGGGAGTGTAAAGGCTGCTAGGAATCTCGCTTTCAGTAGGAGGTAAGCAGGGTTGTCGCCGAGTTTCTGCTGCACCAGTTCTCTGATAGCGTCCAAATCAACCCCAGTGCCCTCATCCTGACTGGCATCAGAAGGCAGAAGACATGCTGCTTGCTCTTCTAGAGCTGCTTTCTGCAGAAGTAGCTTCGAGAGGGTTTTTAAGTTGCACAGAAAAGGTGGCAAATAAGGCAACCTGGTTTGCAGTGATGGTACCTGGACACCTTGTTTCCCATTCAGCCACTCCTTCACTACCCCCTCATCTTCAAGAGAAATCAGGCTCAAGTCAAGTAAATTCTTTTCTGTGCTGGAAGTGGTTGGCTGGGGTGGACTGTCAGCCGGCTGCGCCGTCGGAGGTTTGGAGGCTATAGGTCTATTTTTCAACGCTTGTGCAGCACAGCAATCAGAGCTCCTTGTGACCTTGTTATTGGGAACTGCATCTCCTGGCTGGAGCACAATCCCTTTTGTGATGATGCTTGGATTGGAAGATGATCCATTTGTTGTAACAGAGTCGTGGCTCTTTCCCAAGCTAGCGAGACTCGTCAAGCACTGGGAATCAGACCCTTGAGTGCTTGCAGGTAGGTGTGTTTGGGGCAGCAGCACAGCATGCAGGGTTGGTACATCAGGTGGAAGAGCAGCCTGAGCTGCAGAGGAGTCAGAAGCCTTGGAGAAGCCATCTGAATGTGCAGGTGTTGCAGAAGAAATGCTGGATGTGGTGCATCCAGGACTCGCTGAGGTCACAGGTAAGAGAGTTGTGGAATGGTTAGCTGTCTTTCCCAAAGGTACTCCTTCTGCTAACTGGGCACTCGGTGCTTTTGTCTCTACGCTGCTGGGGTGAGGCATATTCACTCCAGCTGGTACAGGAGGCACTCCTAAGCCAGGGACATTGCCACTGGAAGTCACAGTTGTCTGACATTGACTTGCCACAGCAGCAGCCGGCAGTCCTTGGGGAACACCCATCACAGTTTGTACAGCAGTGGGGAGCAAAGCCTGTGGCGTTACGACCCACGTGAAAGGCAATATGCTGTTGGGAATCAAATGTGAACCAGTTTGTGGAGTTACAAGAGCAGGCAAAAGATTGACTGGCCTCTGTTGTGGCCCATTACTATTCAGCTCACAGGTAACTGGTGTGGGAAGAGACAGTTTGTTGGTGCCAGACTCAATGCCAACAGGCACCACTGTAATCTGATGTGGGAGAAAAGCTTGGTTTTGCAACACTACTGAAGCTGAGCTACCAGCTAGGACCTGACCATTGCACCCTCCCTGCTGTGGAGCCTTCTCTGCCGCAGCTGGATTCATGCCTGGAAAAGCCCCTCCTTCAGGGCTACTTTCCAAAGCTTGCTCTTTTAGTTCCTTATTGGATTGTAGTTCTGTTCCTTGTGAGGAACCAGGGCTTTCCCTGGTTTCTGACACCGTTGAGGAATGGTTTTTAAGCACAATAGTGGTAGAAGTTGAACCTGCAACAGAAGTAAATGCTGGCAATGGAGCTGGTGCACACTGTACTTGGCTATTTGTACAACCAGCTGCTGCAGGTTTGCTCCCTGCTTGTGCAGAAGGAATGATTTGCTGTGGTGGGTGCTGGATTATCAGAGGCCCCGAAACCAGCATCTGTGGGGCAACAAATACTGTCCTCTGCATAGCCTTCTTAGCCCGGGATTCTCTTAGACGCTTCTCTCTCAGTAATTCCGAGACAGTTTTAGGCTTCTGCCTTTGCACTTGGGCTGGAAGAGGTCCCTGCATGGCAGGAGCACGGCTCTCAAAGACAGCAGCAGAAGTCTCCCTTGCTTTTAAGGCAACAGGTCTCCTGATGGCATTCCTTGGTATGCCCCTTCGGGAGTTCTTCTGAGTACAAGATTGTGCTGAATTGCCTATAGAGGAGGGAAAATAAATTTTTTTTTAAAATTGAAAAGATTGAACAGTATTTTCAAAAGCCATTCCTTAGCTATTAAGCATCAAGTATCCTGCACAGGAAGTAACAAAATTCCTGTTTGTGAAAGTTCCTACAACACTATAGTCTTGATTTAATCAAGCCCCGACCTGACATTCTTCAGGCAACTGTTGCAGCAAGCTTACCACTTGTTCAGTAATGATGTCATTTTCCCCAAAAATCACGGATGGGCTAGGACTGCACCTTAACACCGCACATGAGGAACTGTACTGGTCAGCACTACACTGGCACTTTGCAGCAGCCAGGATGACAACAACAAAGTGGGGTTTTGGTCAGCACCAGCATGTTCTCTACAGCCTAGAGCCAGCAGCTTGCTGGAGAAAAGCGTAACAGCAGTAGTCTACAGAACTGGTGGCCCAGTGCCAGCGGTCCCCCAGCCCTTCAGTATTTTTTCGAGTCCTTACCAAAGGGTAACATATTTAGCCAATAACTGAAAATCCAAGAGCTAGCAAAAATGAGCATGACAATGTAGTTTTGTTCCAAAAGTTCTCCTTCAGTTAAATTGCTCATTAATGTAACGGTGATGAATTAAGTGAAAGTTCTTGCACATCATAAAAAAATAAATGTTCTGGTAGGTACCTGAAGAAGTCTCCGTATTTTGGGAAGCCTGCCAAAAAAATTATATTAAATTATACTTCTGAGATATCTGAAGATCATTAAAACAGCACAGATGTGAATCACACCCACATCTGCCAACATCCTATACATTTTACTATGCTTCTGAACCAAAACAAACTGGTAACACACACACACACACACACACCACCACTGGCCACACACAATGAAAAATCCCTACTTAAGTGAAGACTTCGGTGGGAAAAGCTTAGAAACAGATCAGGTGCCATACCTGCTGAGGCCTTCTTGCATTAGCCCCGAGAAGCTCCAACTGCTTCAGCCTTCTCTCACGAATAATCTTCATGCAGCCATTGGTATCAATCTGAAAGAGCTGCAAGATGAGAATTTCATTAAAATTTGATTGAGAACAAAAATGGTCTGGTAGAGCCAGTGACAGTACAAGATGGATGGGAGAGGTTTCACATGCAAGATTCTGGGGACATTTTTACACTTACAGAAAAAAAATCCTCACAGTATTAGATTTTTGGATGCAAGATTTGTTTAAGAAACATCATATGCAAGCCATGAGGTCAGATTAATCCAGTAATTAGATAGTTTAAGGAACAAAGATAAACCATTTATTTACGCAAATACAGAAATAAAGATGACCACTGTTTGAAAGCAACTAATGCTAAGACAGTAAAACCCACCTGAATGAAAAGCGTGAACAGAGGAGTGCTCGCGAGACTGACCGACTTAACCTTCTCTTGAATAGAATCAGCTAGAAAAAAAAAGTCCAACATCAAAATCAGCTGGGCATTCTTTTACATGATGTCAGAAAGTAGGGACAAAAAGTAGGAGAGTACTACCCCTGATGGGTCACCACTACCTTTTGTCTGATGAAAAGCCATCTTCCCAGTTTGCAAGGTGCAAGGCAGTAGTACGTTGCCCACCCAAGGTGTCACTGCCATTAGAAGCTTTCTGTCAAGGTTCATTCTTCTCAAACGCTCTCTCTCTTGATGATAAGTTTTCTCTGTGATGTTCTGCAGCCCCTGAAACTTCTGGCCAACAGAAGTATTAACTTCAGATATTTTTGTTAAAACAGTGGCAGAAGGTTTTAGTATCTTTGATTGCTGTGCATGAACAAATACATAATTAGAGTTCCAATTAGGAAGGTGCTACCGTAATTAGTCCCAGGACAAACTATTTATAGGGCAGTTATAAAAAAAAAAATTACGAGCTTTTCCTCTTGAGACTACAGTGCAAGAAGATTTGTGATTCTATCAAAAAACATTTCCCACTAAATACAGCCTGGCAGCGCTCATATCACAAGAGCAGACAAGACAGAAGAGGCACTTACCAGTTTCCTCTGAATGCACGTGTTATTTCTTAATACTCTTCTCACATTCTCCAGGGTAACCCGTAGCACTTGCTTTCCACATCTGGATGCCTTAAACCAAAAGTGTGCAAGAAAAGATAAAAGGGAAAGTATCTCACAGAAAGTTACTTGCACTGACTATACACAGAAGGTACAGAAGTTTTCAACATTCC